TATATAAGATAAGTAACAATATCTGATATCACCTTATCGGTTATACAATCTAATAATAATCTAATTAATGAATAATTACTTTTTTTTATTTTTATTCAATACTTTTGTTTTTTTACATAACTAAAAATTTGAAAATTAATGTAAAAAAAATATTTTGTAGTTACCTACATATTTTTTTTGAATTTCTTATTTCTTAAAAATTTGTTTTCAAGTCATACATCATAATGTACATAATGAAAATATTATTACTTATTTCGTTAATATAAATTTTATTGTTGGTTATTTTAACCAAATCCGTGCATTTCCTGAATTGTTCGAATTCTTTATATTAGATTATGGTAGTTTTTGTTAATTCATTACCAGATTTTACATTTGACATAGTTCAAAAATTAGTGTTCTATTATGTATCAATTTTTTTTTTATTTTAATTACCCACGAGTAAAACATTTACGTTACAAAATACATTAACATTTTTCTTCGATCGAAAACAAAAATATTAGATAAAACATGATTTAGATTGGATAGATAAATGCTTTGTAATATTAAAGCCTTCATACCAGTAATTAAAAAATTTAAAATGTAGTATACTTTTTTTTATTTAATAACTCAAGTTGAATAAATAATAAATTGTCTTAACTAATAAATAAATGGAAATCATTTTAAGTTTTTATAATCTTTTGCTGGGAGTTTTAAGTTTTACATTAGAAGTGTTTTCATATATTTAAAAAAAATTGTATAGCTAAAATTATAGACTGAAATATAAAACTTCTAATTAAAAATAAAAATGTAATAATTTGATACCAGGCTATTTTTTCGGACAAAAATATTATATTTATCTACAAAAATGAAATATAGGTTTTCTCATTCGTTTATTTTTTATTACAACTATGATATTTTTACATTAATTAATAATTACTTAATTTATTTATTTTATTTATGAAACCATTTAATTTGTATTTTTATATAAGTATACATAACATGCTCAATATCAATAATATAATATGTGTAATTGAAAAATTGATGATAATAATTTGTTAATTATATTATAATCTGATTTGATTATAGCTCTAATTTATTAAAAAAAAATTATTTCACTACGATTATTTTATCTCAATGATATTTAGTTTTAATTTATTTTATATTTATTTATAGATAAGTACACATTATAAAATGATTGGTATTTAATTTAATAAGCGAGTGACTTTTTTATATTTTGATAACGAAGAAAAATTATCTAGATATATGTTATTTATTTATTTTTTGAAGAAAAATGAACATGAAATATCTCAATTTTGAAGAAAAACGATTAATTAAAATGTTTAAATATTTTTAACAAATTATTTTTTGTGTTCATGTATAATATATATTACTTTCTATTATTAATTTAACAATTTAGTCACGACTTCATGATATTGTTATAATATAAAATGATATAATATGAATTCAGTAAATTGGTATTTGCAGCGCGATGAGATAAATTTATCATTGGTCATAAATTATGATAAACTATTTAACAATATTACGATAATGTCTCGCAATAAGTTATCAACTTATATGAAAAAAGTTATAATTAATTACTTATATATTAAAATATAATAAACATTTCAATTTATTTTTAACCATACTGAGCCGACACTGTTGTGTATCAAATAGGTAACGATAATTAATAATATTACTATTATTTATTTGTATTAAAAATTTTCCAATAACCTTATTCAAAATATATAAAGTGCATGAAAATAATCATTTATTTTGTAAAAAATAAAAATAAAAATAGTATTTTCGATTTAACTGTGATTTTGAGTGAAGCGATAAATGTATTGATTATACAATGAATTGTAGGTATATTATTTTAGTGTTATAATTTATTAGGTGAATAAAAATACTTAGATTATAACTTTGAGAGTAATTTTTTGTTAGAAATCAATTCTAGTTGATACTTTAGAGGGAGGGGCGTGTCAAAAATATATGTAAAATATTCATACTACTTACTTTTCAAAATAACTGGAGAATATGAAATATTATTACCTATATGAAATTATTCCCCTATTAATTTAATTATAATTTTTAATTTCACAATACAAATTAATAGGTACTTAAATATATTTTATTTATATAAACAATAAAACTAATACTTCAGCCTCTCCAATCACGTTTATTTACTCCCCTACTCATGACTTTTGAGACATTTCTAATATTCAATATAGATAATCACCAAGTTAAAATTAATAACATCACGTTTCTTCCGGTAATTTTTTTTCGTTTATTTTACGTAAAATACTGAAATAGAAAATATTAAAATATTTTTAATAACTTTTCAAAATAGTATATTAATGTAAAATCGATTGATGTCAATCGATCAATTCTAACGATATTATAATACGAACCACGTTATGAATTCTTTTCATACGTATTTTCGGTATGTGATTTTAAAAAAATGATCAAAAATAAAGTTGCATAGTATTATATAAGTATAAAATTAATAGTGTTGTGTAATAATTTAAAACTACGTATGTACATATAATATAATATTATATTATGCACTTAAATTTTAAATTATTAAATTTATTGTTAATCTTGATACTATCATTATTCTTATACTACCGGTTTATCGTGTGCGGCACTCGTTGCATACGTTCTACTATTATTATTAATCATATAATATAATACTAATAATTATCTACTACTGACTCATACACGATTCCGAGGATACTAGGAAAAAATATATTATTGCCGACTATGCGTGCCTTCATTTGCCCCCCTTTTTTTTTTTAATAAAAAAAAATAAAATGTTTATATATATATATATAATATTATGTTATATATTAACGTACGTATCTGCGGCGCAAGATGACGAGCAATCGCGGATCGTGTCGTCGTGACGTAAATCTATTTGCCGGTGAGTCATGCGGCTGTCCCGATTTACTAGGCGCGTCATCGTAACACCAAGTGTTGGCGGTACCGTCGGGTATTAAAAAGTGGTGGTAGTGGTTGTCGAAAACATACGAAAAGTTCCATTCACCAGTATCACCGCCACCTATATACGCGTGTACTGCGCCCTCCTCAACCGTTCGTGAAATGTCACCGTCGCACGAGCCCACTTTACGATTTTCCCACTCCGCTCCAAGTATCTCGCTTTGCCTGCCACCCGTCTCCACCCACCATGTCTCAACAATAATACTGTGTACTACGGGCGAAATGTTCATTCAGCGATCAGCGTACTCTTAACAGTCTTAACTCGACAGTCGGCTGTCGTAGCTATATCGTACTCCACGTCGACCCCTCACAGACGTGCGATCGTAACGAAGTTTCTCCGTCCGGTCATACATCGCAAGACTTTTGCGGCATTATTTCGATAACAATTTACCGTCTTGAACGACGACGACGAGTGCGCGTACTGTGTTTATTCAACGGTCGAAAAACGAGCACGGATTTTTGTCGATCCGTTTTTTAAATATTATGCTTCAATCTCCACAAATGGTACCTTCTTCCGATATCTACAACGATCCGAGTTCGTCCGTTTGCCGCGATTGTTTGGACCCTGTAGGCATTTGCACTTGTAGTTGGCAAATCATGCAGTTGGACGCCAGCTACAGCATTTATACCACGTTGAACGATGACACGACCAAACGGTCGTCCTCCACAACGTCTTCATTTTTTGACGACATGCATAAGGTTGATATTATAAATTTTAAATACTTTTATATTAATTATTGTATTACTGTAAAAGCGTTTCAAGTGTTCGTTAATGATTTCAAATCCGAAAGATAGAAGGCTGTAGAAGTTCCGATTTGAGGGGGGGGGGGGTATAAAGCTAAAGTACAATTTATCGCGGATATTCAATTTGAATGCACAGCAACATTTTTGTCCATGTATTTTATACTATTTAACGTATAAATATTTTCCTATCCTCTTTAAATTTTGTTAATGTTATAGTAAACATAATATTTTATTGATAAGCTGTAGATATTTTTATATAATAGATTATTGTGATTTGTGATTAATAGTATTTTTGGGTAATACATTTTTTCTAGGAAATTATAAGCGATTTATGTAGGTAGTCATTTTATTATTTATTAATAAATACAAAAACTAAACATTTTTGGAAATCAAAAAAAATAATAATAAATTGTAAAATTTGCTTTTATCAAAAAATCATGGTTAAAAAATGTCGTAATTTTTTAAATCTTTATTACAAAATATAACCTATACATTTTATTAATATAATATAGTTGTAAGACAACAAGATAACTGAAAGTTCTAAATATTATCAACTTTCTAGCCTATATTTGAATTATTTCTACTATAATATATTGGGCAAACATACATATTATTATCAAATATATTTTTAATATTGCAACACAATAATATTAACTACGCAGTTTTAATCTTATCAGACTAGTACTCTACGATATAGTTTTTTTTTAATGGATAACCTCATTTTTTTTCTTTAAAAAAAAAATTAACGTTAAATATCGAATTTTACAGTTTAAAAATTTAAAAATGGTTAGATAAATTATTACTTAATAAAAAAAACCTAATTGGAATAAAACGGCTTAACAATGTTTATATCCCCTTACACAAACAATAAACATAATAGATATAAATTTTCTATTATTGAGTACTTATTTATATAATAATTTTAATTATTTAAATAAATTAAAATAATATGGATAACAATACATTTAAATTCAAAATAATAATTGAAATTATTTTAAATTTAATAGATGATATATTTTTTAAAGAGATAAAGAAGTTTTATTTAATTGGGTATAGAATTATTTCACAAAATTTAGATGAAACATTGCTTACCCTAATTTTATTAGAGTATAGAATTGTGATTTATCTATTCAAATTTAATATTCTAAATTCAGTTTTGTATAATTCAAATAAGTTGTATGACACCAATAATTAGTAATTAACATAAACAAACACACATGTAATTTGTACTATTTTTGCTATACATTTTTTTTTTAAATAAAAAAAATTATTTTTTCTAGTTGGATGGTCTCAATTGTGGTGGCATACCTACACGTACAACACCAACTTTAACACCAACTACACTTCGTACCATAGCTGCTGATATAGCTAATTTGTCACCTGGCCCACCTGAAAATTTTGCAGCTGCAGCTTCTGATCTGCATCACCTTGTGTCATCTTCATGTTCTACTATAAACGTATCAACTTTAGGAGTTACAGATCGTACTGATTTACAAGAACGTGTTACTCTACAGAATCTAAGCAATCAAACAATAAGTCTTCAAAGCTTAAATAATCAACATATTAGTCTTAATAATGTACAAAACCATCAAAATTTAAATCAAAATAGTTTAAACCAACAACAACGTAATGATTATACTAATTCTTTTTCAACGGCTGCATCAAGGCAGGCTGGTTTTGTGCCACCATTAGTATTGCAAATCAATTCCAGTAACTCTAGTGCTCAACAACCATCAGGTAAATGATCTCACAAGAATATTTTATTTAAGTTCATTAATTATTACTTAATTTATTAGGGAACTAATACATTTTTTTTTTACATAGGTTCAACAATTTTATTGAACAATAACAACAGTTCTGGTTCAAGCTCTATATTTAATGCTAAAGGTTCATCTAGTTCAGCATCATCTTCACACTGGCAAGGAGTAGTAGTTACCCAAAGACCTCAGAATAAAACCCGAAGTATAATTAAAAAACAATATACTGATGATGAAGAAGGTGATGATGATTATGATTCTGCAGCTGATGATGGAACAGATAGTAGCGATACAACTTCTGGTAAAATGAGTCGCAAACAAAATACTAAAAATAACAAATCAAATTCAAAGAATAGCGTAAAAAGTGAATTCAAGAAAAATACTGGCAATTCAGGAGGTGGTCGTCGGACTAATAATAAAGACAACAAAATGGTGAGTTAATATCTTATTTGCTTAATTTTACAATTCATGTTGCTTATATTATTTGGTTATACAATGTTAGGTATTTATTTTAACAAACATTTCATAGCTTGATTCATATTCTGTGCAATTAGATTGTTTTATTCTTGCTCAATATTTTCTAGATGTCAGCAGAAGAAGAACAACGTCGCCAGGTTCGAAGAGAACGTAATAAGCTGGCGGCAGCTCGTTGTCGTAAACGCAGAATGGACCATACAAATGAACTTTTAGAGGTATATGGCAAAATATTATATTTTTACATTATCTATTCTTTATTTGAGGTTAAAATGGCAGTAGTTGGGTTTTAAATTAATGTTTAATCATTTTTCAATATTTTTATTTTGAAAGTAATTATTAAATGGAGAAATAATCATAATTCCATCTAAAATTTTAAATTGTTTAAGTGATTCATTTTCATATTAATAAACAAAAACATAAGTATATGTGTGATATCTCTGCTATTTATAAGAATCATTTTTAATAGTGATTATTATATTAATTTTCAGATTTCTAAAATATTTATATTTCTATAATAGGTATATTTTCCGTAATAAACTTTTTATGGCTTAAAACTAACTTTTTTTACAAATTTATATTAGTATAATATTATATGCCTTTATTAACTTGGTTATATCTTATATTTTTTCAGGAAACTGGCCAGTTAGAAGATAAAAGGTTAAGATTACAAGTTGAAATTCAAGGCCTTCGTCAACAAAAAACTGATCTACAACAGATGTTAGCTCAACACAAATGTGCTGTAAATATGAATAATGTACAGTTGTCGAATTCTATTACATCTGTAAATCAAGCTACTACAATATTAGATTCAAATGAAATTTCTGAAACAAAACCTATTATATTAAATAATCATTTGTCATCAATTAAAGGAATGTCTTTACAACAAAATATTAGTACAAACATAGTGATCAGTGATAATGATAGTAATAATGTTGATGATATTATAATAAAGCACGAAGATAATTCTATTATACAAACTGATATTGATTCTAAAGATTCCATAAATATTATTCCTACTTCTGTAATGCAACAGCCACATAGAAGACGACCCACAACACTATTGCAACTCAACAATAGCAATTTCGGAAATAATAAAAAAATATCTGAAAATGGCTCTACTGGTGTAGTAGTATTGAATTTCGATTCGCTTATGGATGGTGGCACGGGATTAACACCGGTATCATCTAGTGGTGGAAGTGTTCAAAATCATCATCAACAAATTCAACATAATAGCACAGGGAATGGTGGTGTAAATACTGACAATAACAGTGTTTTATCGTAAAAAACAAAAGTCTTCATTAGTCAATTAAATTAGTCAACTATAATTAGTCAGTCATTAAAGTACCATCAGAGTTGGGTATAGTAATAATTTTTAAAAGTAATAAAAATAAAAAAAAATAAAATCTTTTAGTAAATATTAAGTTCAAGGTAGTTTTTTGATTAAAAAAATCATGATATAATTTATCTAGTCAAATATATTTATTGTAACCATGATAGTTTATTAATCACATAAAAATAATGAATTATTTATGTTTCTGTTAAAATAAAAATGTAACTATTTATTAAGTAGTTAATATCAGAATATCAAAAAATTTCAGACATGAATTCAATTTTTTCCTACATTCTTGCAAGAAGCTCTTGATGACTTAAATTCTATTTTGATTTCTCTCTGATTTTAATTATGCATGTTCTACTTTATTAAGTCTAAAATCTAAATCCATTTTAACTACCATTACATTTTAAATATCATAGCTACTAAAACTTAGTCAAAATGAATTATGAATATCATTCCAATAACACTAGTCTATGTGAATCCTGATTTTGTTGTCCTACATGCTGTTATTCCTTTTTATATAAATCAAAATTGAAAAATCTTTTATATTTTTATTAATCAAGTAAAACATATCTTATAAATAATATTTATATTTTTTAAGCATCTACCCAACTCTGATTACTAATTTTTATTTTTATATTAATAAGTGTTAATTTTATTAATTTTATGTATATTTTATAGAGTATACTTGGTACATTTATTTTAGAAAATCAAATTTATTACATTTTGTATGTTATGTAAAGCTGTGTATTCAAATTAATTAAAGTTATGTCCAAAGAGGGAAACTTCAGAGTAAATAAGTTATATTTTTAAATAATTTTATTGTAAATAATTTTGTTTATTATAATTTAATTGTATGCTCTTTCTAACGCAATTTTATATAATATAAATGTAAACATACTTGTAATATACATAGACATTTAAGATATATTTTTATTTAATAGTAATTTTATTCTTTTTAATTATTAGACTTTATGTATACTAAAGTGTATTTTATTTTAAAGATGTGTATGATTTGACATTTATGATACTCTTGTAAATATTTAACATATATAAAAACAAAGTGATATTTTTACTTTCATCATTTTGAATTTTCATAGTTGATTTTAAATCCCTACTTAAATATAATATTGTATACATTTAAAATGTTACATTGATTCCATAAATCAATTGTGCATTTTATTCGTTTTTTTTTTTTTTTTTAAATCATTTATTATAATAATTATTAATATTTAAATAACAAATTAAAATATAGAAAAAAAAGATAAATTGTATGTTTTTCCTTTACTTATGTGTTGTAAATTAGCAAAAATTTTGCTAAATTGGTTTAAATTTTAATTTATAGGTACAACTTTGTATATTTAGATTTTCAAGTTTACATTATATAGCAGGTCTTCTGAAAGTTCTTTGTCATTATATAATAATGAAAAACTTAAACATGTTATAGGTTAACTGATGGGTAAAATTACTTGAATTTGTTAGAATAATAGAATGATTGTATGGCTTTTTTTTATGTCTAAATAGTAAAATATATTTATTTTGTGAAAATATCAATTATAAAATAAGTATTTATATGCATTTTTATAAAAAAAATGTGAAAAAAAGTTAAATTGTAAATAATTCAAATTTTAAACATAACTGATAACCAAATAAATTGAAATAAAATAAAAATAATGTGAAATCCTAGATTAAGGCTTGCATATTTATGAAATTACTTGTTTGTATCTATGAAATTACTCATTTTTATCCATTCATATTTATTGATAATCTAGGTACCTACTAATTTAATTTATACTCAACTAAATACAATTATATCATTTTGATTTTATACTTATTTTATGGTACCTATTGAGTTTATAAATGGTCGTTTTAATTCATTTCAATATTTTAACTTAATTTTTCGTATTTAGAGACTTATATTTATCGTGTTTGTTCTAAATATTTTTAAATTTGCATGATGATGTAATCATGATTTTCTTGTTTAAGAATTTTAATATTTATATATTAAAGGTAGGTATATTACATGTATTCCAGTAAGGAATTTAAAATATTTAATTATGATTTTATTGAGTTATTATCAGTATGATTTTATGACTGATTTTTATGTTATTATTTTTTTAATTTATTAAAAACTTGATAATTTAAAAAAAAAGTAACTAGTTTGGTAAGTAATTGAATTGTTTTAATTGTAACTAAGTGTAATACACTAATAGGTACATATTTTTAAGTAGGTACTTAACCAGTTTGGTGTTTTTGTTTTTGGAATATTTTTAGGTAATAATGCATACTGCATACATATTTATCGTTTTAAATAATGCATTCATAATATTTGTGTCATTTTTATCGAATTAACATCTGTAAAGCTTTACTCATCAGTCATCACTCACTTGAGTACCTCTATAGGTATTGGCATAGATTAAATACACTATATTTAATCTATAGTATTAGGTACCGTGTTTTTTCCAAGTCAGGCGTTTATATTCCGCAATGATGTTTAAATGAACCAATGAACAACATGGCACAATTGTGTAAGAGGTAATTACATAGTTCAGCCATTTAAATTGTTATTTTTACTAAAATTAAAAATAGTAATGATAAAATATAAAATGTACATCATATTATAGTGTTACTGTATACTTGTTTGAAAAAATTTCAAGATATATTTAACAATAAATCTTTCGTAAACATATAGTGAAATACTGAAACATATAGCAATGAGTAATATTATTAATTCTGCTATTGTGATAAACACGTACTTATTATTATAGGTTACTTCACATAGATGTGCGTCTTTGAAATAAATAGGACTACTGAAGTTATTTAATTTATAACATAAAAAGTCTTGGATACTTGATTGGTCTAGTGTCCATACTTAAAAGTAGATACCTATATAGCTATAATATACAGATACCTAAACTCAAAAGTATAAATGTGTATAATACTATTGTGAACGGAATAGACCTTTAAGGATAACAAAACAAATATATACCGTGTGCATTGCTAGGCATTAGTTACCTATTTATAGGTAAGTACTATAATACGAATAATACGATGATGTTTACTTTCTAAAAATATATTCTAAATTATACATATATATATGTGTGTGTGTATGTGTGGTGTGTGTGTGTGTGTGTGTGAGTATATATCATATAATAAATATATACAAATATATGTATAATTACATTAATACTTATTTGGCGTTATCTCTGACTAGAATTACTGAGGCTATAATATATACGTATATTTCGATGAAAATTATATAGTGTAATATAGTAGGACAATTGTTAATAATAATCTAATCATAAATATATATATTTATATTGTTATTATTATTATTTGTAAATCGGAATAAATAATTTGAAGATAAAATCAAATATATAATATGGGAATAGATCCTTTGAAAAATATAACATAATATATAGGTAGGTAATACGTCTACGCGTCACAGTGACAATATGATAATATGAGGGACTGCGGTTGGGGGAGTCGTAATAATATAATATAATATAATATAATATAATGTATATATATCATAATAGTAGATTAATAACTGTAGGTTTTATTATGTTTGTAAACGACAATCGCGATAGTTCCGTATAGTGATTATTATTCATATTGGTGTTTTAATTTCCGCTTCTTTAAATCTAATATGCACTCTGTTTCTGTGAAGATACAGTAGTGTCAGGCCCAGCTATGGTGTGCGCTTTCTTGACAATTGCCAGTTTGGAATGCGGATCTCGGACGGACAGTTGGCTGTACGGCGGTTCCCGGGTACCGTGCAACATCAGAGTCCATTCCTTCAAGAAACCCGTGTGCACCGTTTCATAGTCGTTTTCGTCTCCATCTTCTTCGGCCGTATCACGATCTGCTGATAACTTGTCACCATTTTCTTCCAGATCACGAACTGCCATCGTGGAATCCGTTTTAGACCCCTGTCTAGAGTTCTGATGTGTTCCGCCGATGTTGTTAGCAGCGGATTCCCGCGAAAACTGATTAGGTGTATTGAATTTCGCCTGCAAAACAGATACATCGTAAAATACAAGAGTAATTTCTATTATGCGCATTCGTTGTGGTAATCAATAAACATAATAGTATATCAATATATTTTATGCCACCTGCAAGACGTAGGTAAAGCGTGAAACTTCGAGGAGGACGATGGGTGCTGCACCATTCGACCTATAATATGGTAGACTTACAACACGATTAAGCACTACAAATGTAAATATGCAATCAAACACAATAAAAATAATCCAAAAAAATACCAAAATACGACACGATTGAACTCGGTGAAATATGTGCAATACCGCTGTGTTTATTTATTTTTCAAAAATATTGAAAACAATTTTTACATACAAGAATAAAAAAGTAATTTTGAAAAAAATTAAATTTCGTAGGTACATTTTAACATATCATCAGTGTTTTAAATAATTTTTCGCTCGATCAAAATGCTTGAAGTTTAATACAAGGTTCTCTAAAAAGTGTTATTATAGCTGTTTGAAAACATACATAGTCACGATTTTTTTTTTTTTATAAGCATTTTAAATATAAAATTTGATAAAATTCGTCAAAATCACGAAAATTTGAAAATTATTTTGTAGTTCACATTTTATAAAGTTTATTTTGATAGCTAACAGGCTTGAACATTCAATATTAGGTTTTTTTATATGTTATACCTAAATATAGTTCATGTTGTAACCAACAAATCTATAGAATTTATAATTAAAATTTTTTTCATCAACATTTCAAATTTAAATTTAAAAGAAATTCAATATTTAAACAAAAAATAATGATTTTAGTTATTTTGTAATGATTATCTTATTCGTTTTTAAACTTTAAGGTATCTATATTATTTATACACAATGATATTTTAAAAATATTAAGATTAATTTTTTTTTTTTTATAGATATTTGTATATTTTTAGAACTATATTATGTAAATATCTATAAAAATACTATTTTTAAAGGATGATGTAAAAATGTGTAACATTTATACCACATAGATAGGTACTCCACAGAAATAAAGTACGTCAAATAAGATGCCATATAGGCATCCTATAAATTTTTAAATTAAAATTAGATTAAAATTTACTTTATAAAATATTAAAATGGTATTATAACCATTCTTATCACTTTTTAACATTACCATTTAGGTATATACTGCAGTAAGCATCTATTGTACTTTTATCAATCTATGAAAATAAGATTGAAAAATATTTTCATAAGTTCTTCGAAAACTGTGAGAATACAGTTTTATAACTTTGTAATACATATTGCTTATTACTTTTAAGGTCTATATAAATATTACTGTAAATTAGGTTAATAATATTTTTTCATAAGTTCTGTATCTTTAAAGTCTGTATAAACATATTTTAATGTTTAATAATTTTGTATAATTACCTCAAGTATCCATTCGCCCCACGGATATTCACCCCATGTATGGGTTGTCATAAATGGCCATTTTGTAAATCCATCTCTACGGTCGTCGTCATTAGGCCTTCTACTTAATATCATCGATCTATAAATATGCACACATATTTTAATAAAATTTTATCGTTATTTCTTATATGCTATTATTGTAAATGTAAAATTTTTGAATTGATACATTTATTGGGCACCCTATATTAATATCAATAGGTACAAATTTTTAATATATATAATTTATACGTAATATGTGTAAATTCGTGTAATATTTCAGTAACCTTAATTGGACAAAGAACAGTATTTTTAAAACAATACTTTATTGTACTACCTATATTTTATACATTTTAGAAATTTATTTTTATTATTATTATTATTATTATTGTTCCACGTTCCAAGCCTATTATCAATGATACTTAAATAATATATAAATATTAATTTTTTGATATTTGAAAATATAAAATTAATAATTTCAAGATAGTTTTTTTTTTTTATATGCGTTAAATTACTCACATGGCAATTACTTAATTTAGTTTCAATTTTATAAACGTATTGATGAAAGATCTATGATTAATTAAATACCTACCTTGTGCCCATTGGAGATGTCAAAAAGAGCTCAACATCGCCACGTCTTGTAGAATTGAGTGTAATTACAGCTTGTACGTGTTCCAGGTATTTGACATGGGTATCGGTGCCACGGCATGCATCAGTGTTCAATTTCAGTATAATGCCTGACTTCGATGTAAATTTCCTTTAATTCAAATTAATTTTAATTTTTGACTTGATCAACTATTTTGCTAAAAATAGTTAATTATTAATGTGCTAAAATTAATCATCTTATACTAAATGAAATTTAAATTAACTTTTAGTTATTACAAAAAAAATAATAATAGCTTGTTAGTTTGTTATGATATGTATCATGCAAGTATATTAACCAATTATTTCATATGTATATCATCATTATAGTGTTTGATATTTTAAATTATAGGTACCTACTTTAGTAACCTTCAACTTAAATTGAATTTGTTATTTATCAATTTAACATAATAATATCAATAATAGATGGAATTTACTAATTAGAAAGTATATATTTATTAAACTATATATATTTTATAATTTTTTATGCATAACTAAGTATAAAATAATATATTTTTTTATATTTATTTTTTCTTAAGTTCCAAACTAAATCTTAAAACACTAATTGGATAAGTTTTAACTGAATGTATAAATGGTTTAAGAAACTAAATTTACAAACAATATCATAGGTTGAGTCATTTAAATTTATTCATTAATAATTAATATATTATACTACGATTGCAATAATATTATTAGGTACCTGATTTTTGTATGTGATCCTCCTTGACAATGATATCTAGCAGGTACAGTATGCCACTGTCGAGCAAGTGAAACCATTCCTCCAGCATCAAGCACTCCAAATCCAAACAAATGATTAAATTCCAAGCCAACACCGTTCATTGTCCATTGAAATCTACGTTTGGCATCAAATAAAGAATTTCGTTTTGAAGTCAATACGGTCAAGTGTTGTATATCTCTCCAAGTCAAATCGGGACTGTTAAATGTTCGTACAACAATAATAGTAATTAATAACCAAAATCAAATTAAAAGTATAAATAAACGTTATAATTATAATTTATTGAATATATTATAATAATTGAGATAAAACTAGTTCATTAAAAATACTATGTATAGTATATACTTATATACATACTTTGCTTCCAGGGCTAAAGCGAACACGCCTGCAGCTTCCGGTGCAGCAGCTGATGTGCCACTGTGAGATTTAGTACATTTACCATACAAGTCTGTAGTTGCCTAAAAATATATTTTAAAGTATCAATTTAGTTTAATATATGAAACATATCATATCGTTTAACAAATAAATTTGCAATACACACGCTGAAATACTTGCAATAATAATATTCGATTTAAAATATTAATAAATAATATTTAATCAAATATTAAAATTTAATATTACTAATTTCCTTTTTATGTATAAAAAGTATTTACCTATATGTAATAATAACTATAAACTATAAGTGATAACATATAGTTATTGTGATCAAAGCTTAACTTATAGATTCATATTAAAGATGATTATTTTATACGAGATATACATATATTGTAGAATACTTACAACTCCAGTATTAGGATCTTTGGCTCCATTGCTAAAAGTTGAAGCCAGTGTGCTTGAACAACTTTCGTCATAATGAGCATTCTGTCCATCGTTTATAGCTGAATTTATCGATATCGTCCACATACTAGCGGCATAACCATCGCAGTTGCAATCATCAGCCTCTCCGCCGTCACCACTAGCCCATACGTAGATATTACCTTTTCCCCGACGACCCTTAAATACACGTTTATTGTTAAATATAGAATTATTTAAAAAAAAAAAATAAGATGCTTGCTATTTTAAAGTCTTTGTAAAACATTGGTTTAGAATTAATAACAAACATTATACAATACTTAGTAGAATTAGTCAAAATATTTTAAAATTTGAATAAAATATTGTGATGTTAATTTTATTATTATAGTTTATATGTATTGAATATTTTAATTGTTTTATAAATGAAAAAATTCACTCAAGTTTTAGATTTTTCATGTATTTCCTTTATAATTATCTGTTTTATATTTTCTTTTCAAATCTATATGCCATAACGTTTTGAATGAAAAAAAATGTTAAACCTTCAACTTTGAGAATAGTTTCTGGTAGAAAATTAAACATGGTTGGTACTTTGAGGGATGAAAGACAAAAATATTTTTATAAGTAGTATAATATGATTTTTTTTACACTAACTTATATAATTTATAAATTATTTTATTTTATCTCTGCATAACTCACTTCATTGACGCCCCGGACTATAGCTCGCATAGTAGCGTTACGTGGACCGTCAACTGTTCGTCCATCATCTGTAGGTCCCCAAGAAGCACTGTAAATATCAATTAAATCCGGTTCGTGACCCATGCTATTCGCTTCGATAAGATCTGTCATATACGGTTGGTCAAGCATCCGGATCCCTGTGATAGAATGTATTCCATAAGCAATTTGTTTATTAAAAATAAGAATTCGTATCAGTAACTTTTTACTATATATAAAATATACACGAGTATAGAACGACGTAAACTTATCAACTTAAAAAGCGTAAATGGATATCTACTTTTTTGTCCACGGATAACATTAGGTACATAACATGTATTCCATGTTTTATAAATCCAACTAATCCAAGCACTTACCGGCAATTTTTGAGTCAAATGCCACACCGGTACCACAAACACCATTATCACGAGCAGCTGCTACTTCTCCGGCGCAACGTGTACCATGGCTGTTGAACCAATCATCGGTATACCTTGGGTATGGATATGGGTCATTAGAACTAAAATCGTAACTAGCTCGTGCGTTCTAAACAATATAATATAAATTAATTAATAGTAGAAAATAAGATGCGATTTTTGATAATTGAATGTATAAAAATAGGTTACAGGTATTTATGTACGCATAGACATTAACAAACACTAGTACATACATAAATCTCATTTTAGTATAAAAATTTATATGCAATGTAGATTATTTTTTATGTTACTCACGTAATTATACTTCAGATCTTCGTGTGTGTAATCCACTCCTATAAATATATATATAAAAAAAAATAAATAAATATTTACTCTAAAATAATTTTAACAGTTTTATGACTTTTAATTAACATAAATATTAATCTATAAGTTCATAAGCAACAGTATCGCATTAGAAAAAAATAGTTTATTCTCTTTTAAAAAATGTATTGAAATAAATGTATAAAATACATAAAAAATTAGAAATTAAATTAAAATTAAATGTCTACTGGTTGATCTATGTATTTGTTTAAATAAAAGTGAATTTATTGCAGATTTTCGAGTACTAATATTTTTAGTATTTTTTTATAATATATCTGATTTAAGCACTTAGACATTTTCTCACCATCATCCATTATAGCCGTAGTTACGTTCTTGCCTGATACCCCTTGAGCCCAAGCGGCTCGTACATTCAAATCTAATTTTGGTTTACCACCATTTTGTCCTGTATTCCTCAAATACCATTGTTCCTTGAATAGTGGATCCATTGGTAATTTACCATAACGATCCAGATCATCGTCAATTTCAATTGGTTTACCAGGATATCCTCTATATTGGTTTGCCATATATTCATCTCTATTCAAATATAAGGATGGAATAAATGGTTTGTATCCACGTTTCACTCTCTTAAATCCTGGTTGCTGATGAACAGACTTAACCTGAAATTTTTATTTATTTGTTTAAATATATAACAGTTATTAACACTAGTTTATACTTTTAAAAATTAATTTTAAAGTTTTAATTAAGTTACAACTTGGATATAATGTAAAAAACCAGGGACGCAATTCAGATTAGATATTTATTTGTAATTATCTCTAGAACGCTACTAATATGCAACTTATGTAGTAATACAAAATATACATTCTAAGTCAAATTAAGATTCTTAATTAAAAAAATTTAAAGTGCCATAAAAAGTCTTAAGGGATCAAAATTTTTGATCCGACTATGACTGACATATATTAAAGAAAAGTCGATAAATTATAAAATTCAATATAAAATAAATATGCAATTATGATACGTAATATATTGCATGTTAATAATATACTTATTATTTATAGGAAATGTTAATAATTAATTAGCAAACTTAACAAATAATGATAATCAATATAGTAGACACTATAGATACGATATATAAATTTATTATGTCAAAGTTGTAATTATGTAGGTATCATTAAAATTATCATCCGCACTAATTCTGTAAAATATATTATTTCGTCTTTAGTAAAAGCTAGCATTTAAATAATTGAACGGTTCTTACTACTTGTAATAGACACTAAAATATTTCTTGTGTATATACAGTAAAACCTCTAAATACCGGACACTCTCGGTAGCCGTAATTTTGTCTGTTATTTGGAAGTGTGCGCTATTCAGAGTGCGTGGGAGGGGGTAAATTTTTGAAAATAACTTGGATAAATTAATAATTACGCATGTAAAACATTTATTATTTATACAATACTAAAATTTATAATAATGATGTTTGTATTTTTGTATTATTAAAATTATAATATAAAACTATGGTATTATGTATGTAAAAATTAATAAACATGTTAAAAAAATAAAATTTTAAAAGAAAAATTAACATTTATTAAAAAAATCGGTTACTTTAGCTTGTTTTTGATGTATAGTAATTTCGTATATCAAGGCATTTTTTAATTCAACTGCGTTGGAGAACAATGAAGTATTCTATGTATTAATAATATTCTATGTATTATTAATCGACACACACACGGCCTAATATTTATCTACATCGCCATTAACGTTGATAATTGGCGATCACTGACCTATCTTACGTCTTACGAGCTGCCCTTCGTATTTTGTCACGTGTCCAGCCTTCGCAAGGTTTATTTTTCACACAATTATTCTATATTTACGATAAAAATTGTCAAAATGAAAATTAAATTGCCATAAAAGTGTCCGTTATTTAGAGTGTCTGGTATTTAGGGGTTTTCCTATATGAGAGTAGTGAAAATTTCACCGTCCCCATAAAATCTCCATTATTCGGAGGTGTCCGCTATTTAGAGGTGTCCGTTAAGGGAGGTTTCACTGTAGTTTTATTATGACAAAAACTGTATATTCTAAATTTTAGATAATAGATTAAAATGATCAGTAAAATAATTATTGATCACTCTAAGAATTGTAGTCATAACAATATGATAGATACTTTAACATCAGGTCCAGATTAACATTATGAACTAAAGTAAAGGAGCTATAACCTAAACGTAGTATTAAAAACGTTAAAATGAAAGCGCAAGTTTTTCATTTTTATCCAAAGATTATTTAATTATATAAAATTATATATACAGATTAAATATGATTGAAATAATACAAATATATTGATTATGAGTCAATTTAATATTGGTTAGTAAAAATATAGAGGTGCTATAACTCTTTATAAGCCCTGAATGGCTTATTATAGATGTGAATTGCACCTAAACAAAATAATAAAAATAATAACAGATATTTTTATAAAACGGCGCATTGCATATGCAATATGTATACACACCTGTTGTAAGGTTGTCTAGGTTTTAATGGTGTGTTTTAGTAAAAGAAAACTAAACATTATAATTTATTATAATAAAATTGTGGATCTTTAATTCATAACTAATTTTCTAATGTCATATTTCAAAGATTTTATGAAATTAATAAATGGGAGTACTTGGTTTATTAATTTGATATATAATAGATTTTTTTATATTTTATTCTTAATAGACGGTTAAGTAGTTAATAAAATCTATCACCACAGATATGTTCATCATAAAAATTAAAACAATATAATTGCATTTAAATTATATTTATGTTTACATCCATTCTTGTTTATAATTTTTTTAAATTTAAAAGAGTTTGGGAAATTCATAATAACAATAAAAATCATTTTATGTAGTAATTGTTTTAAATAATAGACTAATAAATATTAAATATTATAAATTTTAATTTCAAATAAAAATATAAAATAAACACTTTATAGTATTATTTACATTAATTATTAATAGTATTACATTTATATACTTACAGATGGATCCTTCTTCAAAAGTAGAACTGAAGGTAGAGAACGACGGCCACGGATTTTTGGTAATCCATGATGTACGAATTGAAATTCATCCTTAGTACCACGAATCTGTAATATATTATTGAATAATGAATTTATAAAACAAGTTTAGACAATATTTAATTAAAATTAATATACTTATAAATACAACAAACTAGCAACTAAAGAATAATCAAATTTTCAATTTCAAATAAATTAGGTATAAAAAAATTAACTTTGAGTTCAATCAGTGATCATATATTTACACTTTTTTTCTTTATTCATCAATAGAATTAAATTATATTTTTATATTTTTTTGGATTAGATTGTAATAAATCAACGCTCTTTTGATCGTTTAGATTACTCTCGAACAAATTATATTGCGGAGTCAAAAATAATATAAATAAAGGTGGGCAGTAATAACCTAATTTTGTATTAAATTTTTTAATTACGGAAGAATTTATAAATTTTCATGGTATTAACTCTATTAAGTAATTTACTCAAAATTTGAAATTAAAATTTAAAATGCTTATAAAAATAAATGGTTTCTATGTTTTTTAAATACTATAAATATCTGTAAGAACAATTTATATAAGGTACTAAATGAAATTTTCAACAACAAATTTTTATAACAAAAATTTTTCTTTAATATTAATTTCAAATGTCTATAAAACCTTAAAAAATTGAAATATTTTTTAAATTGATGCTTCTTAGTTTTAAAACGTTTATAAAAAATTAATCTAACTTTCTAGTAAAACTATATTTTTCAATTTAAGTAAAAAAACTTATGAAGAACTTTGTATTCAATTTTAAAATCTTCGATGGAAAAAGTAATTTTTTATGAATTTATAACTATTTATAAGTATTTGAAAATATTTGAAATTTCACGAATTTCATAAAATTTCTAAATTTATTTATAAAAAAATATTGTGATGTATTTTAAATTATTTAATTTTCATTTGAACAAATAATGACTTATGAATTATAAGAAACCTAGTAAATTATGTTATGTATAAACATTATCATTTATCACATAAACATTTGGTGAAAATATCATTTAACATTTATTAAACTAATGTTTTAAATGTGTTAAAACTTAAAAGTGATTTATATTTATAAACTTGATTATTAATAATCCGATATTTTTAGATTAAAAAATAAAGTGATAATAATAATAATTTAATAAGAATATCAAAATAATATATCATAATTTTCACATAGTACAAGCTAAATTTAATTTTATATCTGAATTTATCTCACCTAAATAATGTGCTAATATTTCTAAGATAAGTCGCAAATAATTGCAAGTGGTTTCTAAAATTCTAAAAATTCCGAACTCCATTTTTTCCCCCAATAATCTTGGACCTATTATCTAAGGAAATTTAATATAAAGTTCAATAACTTAAACTTAAATTGATTTAATTACATTAATATTTTTAAAGACTTATCTGATTAACTATTTACGTGAAAGGGGGTGATTGTTATTTGAAAAAATAAATTGATATAGTCATGAATCTAAAAAGTTCAATTTTAAAATATGAAAATATGGTCCTTATAAATATTGACTATAGGTATTTTAGGTAAATTTAAATACTTAGAATTAAATAAATTGAGGTGAGCGCGTTGGTGAATCGCCCACTCTGTAAATTATACAATAAACTACGAGTATAAAGATAAGTTATTATAATTTATTATTATCGTGGTATATATTTTTAAATATACTTGAATATTTCATTATACACAATAAAGCGACATTTAAAATTCTGGAGAATATTACAGTATGCATATATTTGAATTTTAAATAGCCAGAAGTAGGTATATTGATTTTACTATATTCGTAAATTAAGTGTTTATTATACTTGAATTTTTAATTGCATTTTTTTTTTAATTTGGCAGGTAAAAGGAGTTAATAATTTGATGAAGGGTCTCTATAAATTATAAATTTACATAATCTTTAGTTTTAAACCAGTATGAAAAAAAATAAAAGCTTAATTTTTTAATAACAAACTGATTAAAAAACGGGTTAAGCAAAATTCTGAAATATAAGTTTTTCTTGAAAAAAATCTATTAACAATCTAAACAATTTTAAATACGAAATTCTGGTGTTATTAAAATCATTAAATAAAATAAATACTAACTAAAACATAATTTCACTATTAAATTGATATTATATTTAATTTGTTTATTTTATAAAATTCAATCAATATCTTTAGGCTACAAGGTATTAGTACGATAAATTTTTAAATAAAAATAATAATAACATAAAATATTTATAGCAAAATAGAAATAAAAATAAAATTGTATAAATACAGTTATGTGTTTTCTAGACACTGATGCTTTTGTAAAGTTTGAAAAACCAATTGTAAATTGTTTCGCTAAAATAAAATAAAATAGTGTATTTAATATTTGTGTTAATTTCTTATCACAGATAAAAATATCATGTGTTTTAATTCCTATTCAATATTATATTTTTTATAGTGCCTATATGTAAATAAATAATATGAAATTCTTTTTTTAATATTAAATAATATTATAAAGCTTGTAATTTGTATATTATATTTATAAGACAAGAATTACTTACATTTATTTATTACTTCGAAAAACACCTTAAAAATAAAAACCATAATATATCTATCTTGTAATTAAACCATAGAGTAATAATTTTCTGTATAAAATATTTTATATATAACATAATAAATTATAGGACCAAGTAAATATTTAATCACAAACATTCAATTAGTTTATGTCAACCCCTTTTCAACTAAACAACTTGAATCTTCTGTCGTTTAATAAAAGCTTTCGCTGCAGCCATTAAAATATATACCATCATCACTTATATTTGTTTTGACATTTTCCGACCCACACGTCCATCAATCAATATCGTAAAACCATGACCATCACCAGTAATCCAACCACCGTCTAATATGTAACATTATACATCAGTGTGTGTGTGTAAATAAAAATAATAAAGGTTGACATTTTTCATTTCAAACACCAGCATTAATATAATTGAATCAAATTTAAAAACGCAGACCATGATATAAATTATATTAGGTATAATTAATAATTATAGATATATCGTCCATCTAAACATAAAAGTGCGCAGAAGTGTATAATTTATTTAATCATAATGCAATAACATAGAAATTTCTATCTACAAATTGAATATGTCTACCGTCTATAATGGGATTATACATTTATGATTAAAAAAAACACGATGCTTTGAAATTGAATAAAATATAAATCACATTGTGGGTGCAATGACGTCAGTAGGACTATAGTGTCAGCCGCGCTTAACTCCCTGTCCCTCTTCACCACCACGCACAGTCACCACCCTATCTACACCTACACGTATACTTTTCCGAAAACTCTCGACCCACTCTGTGTTCCACTCAAACCATCTCAGCCACCAGCGGTCGATATATTATTATGATATATACCGCCATCCCTTTACCCGCCCTCCCGAATGTTACCCTTAACCTCTGCCAGAATATTTAATTAAAATACACCTGATGCTCGCCCAAAGCGGCAAAGCCGCTCAATGTCATAATCTCGCGCAGATATCACTGGAAATTCGATTCAGATGAAAAGATTTTATTTATATTATACTAATGATTACTTATTAGTTATTACATAAAATTTCTTTAAAATCGCATCTATTGTTCTCGTGATAGCAGGTGCTACTGTAAAATTTCAATATCTCCCGCCTAGCGCTAAAATATACTGTAATTTTATCGACCAATATGCGCCCGTCTACACGATAGTAATATAATATACCTACTAAATACTAAAACCATAATCTATAACGATTTGACAACTCTGTAAGAGACGTGTCGGTTTTTTGACGGGACGTAGGGGTGCCCGTAATACACTACCGTACGCGCCTAAACCGTGAAGTACATGATTACGTACGTAGGTATGTTTCGATAGCGATACCCAGCGAGCCGGTCGAGTACTCTCGTCTGTGTACGACGTCTAATCGTAACGTCAAAACATATCATACGGTCGGTCGCATACATATTATTATCATGTAATACATCGTACGCCATTCACAAATGCAGCGGCGTACCTAGACCGTTGTAACTTGTAATGATTATCATGACGCGTACTTCCGCGTACAAAACATACAGCATACCTTGCCGACGTTTTCGAACCCGCTGCCAGCCCTCTTGGCGACCCTGTGGGCCACCTCCTCGTCTACGTGCCCGGCACCGTCTCGGACGTCGCTGTGCAGCCTGACCGAGAACGTGTTGGTGTACAGCTGGGCGCCGGCCACGCCACACGGGTGCGGCTCGAGAGCGACGAACAGGGCACACCACAGCAGCGTCAAGGCCGCGGAGATCAGCAACACCAAGGCGGAGGAGAACTGGTCGCGGCGGCGGACCCATCCGTCGCCGTCGTCGCCCACCCCGGCGCCGGCGTTGTCCGAATCGCCGTTGTTGTCGTCCGACCCGGTCATGGTGGTCGTCGCGATCTGGTCGCCGGTCGGCCTGCACACTACGCCGCGTGCAGTGGACGTGCCTGTAACGGTGTATATCGTGTGCGTGAGTACGCGCAGTATTGCAAAAGCGTACAATAATATTTCAATACGAGACACGATAATACGATACGCGTAGCGTGCGGACGGAACGGCCCGTCAGAGCAAATGAAAAAAATAATTCATACCACAATAATAACAATAATAATAATAATAATATAGTTAGTGTAATAATATTATGATCACCTGTAGCGACGGTCAGTGTATGCGAGTGCGAGCGCGCGCGTGTGTATAATAGTATCACCTCCTGATCCACAGCGGTAGCACGGCACACTGGAGAGCCGCCGACTGCTGGAACAGAATATCGGCGGTGCGATGAAAACGGTATCGCGTTGTTCGTACGTCGAGGACTGTGCGAGGTGGCGCTTACGGCTGCGGTGGCGGCGACGGGCGTGGACGAGGCGACTGCGACCGCCGGGCTGGCGGCGGGCGGGCTGGCGGCGGGCGGGCCGTCGGCGGGGGTAGCTTTTATCTGCGGGGGGCGCCGGCGCCGTGCGGAGCGTTACAATGTAACGATACACGAACACGACAACTGCGACCACCACCGCCGCCGCCGCCGCGCGAGCCCGATATTCCATAACTTTATAACAATATTATTACATATTTTATACTGTTAAATGTATACAGAGTACATTATTTAACAAGACGTGTATATAATATGTGCACGTCGATCGGTCACAATATCGTTTTTAAATGTATTATTATTGTTGCAAGAAACATATTAGGTATTAAATAATTGGCAATGCGCACCTTGTAGGTATTCTGTTGTACGGCATATACTCGAAAATTTTTACTATTTTCCGCTAAAATGTATTGATAGAACGGCGGAAAATCATTTGATACCTACTTGTATTTACAAGAAAGGAACGTTTAAGTGAATAATGTTTGAAGGAAAATACTATACGTGGAAATTCATTTTTTTTTTTTTTTTTTGAAAAAGCAATTTTACGCGATTTTGATTGATTTTTTCTGAAATGTATTCTCGTGGAACACATATTTTATTATTATCAATTTTCACGAAAGCTGCAGAAAATAAATTTGATTAAAAATTGAAATAAAATAATGACATTTATAAAATCAATTTGGCTTGGTTTTAGTTAATAACTAATAAGTAATTATAAAATTAATTAAAATGTCGTAAACTATAACATAAAATACATTCAAGTCCTCGCTCACTTAAGTATATGTACTTTATATGTGTTTTTATTATTTTTAGAATTTTTTCAATGTATACATTGCTAAGCAATATAAAAAGAATCAAGAATATAGACCAAAGACAAATATATCTCCGGCTTCGACTTTTGTTTTCCTAAAAACCATTGACATTATTTTTATAAAAGATCAAAAATACCTTAAAAATATTTTTTGTTTAGTAAAATTTACTTATTAATAAATATTATAACTTTAAGTTAAAATATATAGTCTGTCTTTATTATAATATTATTTATTTTGTAAAATGTATAGTTTATGCTAATTAAAAACAATATATATAATAGTAATAGGCCCAGAATGTGGTAAGCAGGTGTATATAAAAATATAATAGTATACATCATACAATACGGGTTAGTAACAAGAATAATGATGAGTAATATACATGAAGTTAAATAAACATCTATAACACGTATAATATAATGTATGAAAATATTACACTACAATGTATTAACATTTAACACAAACATTAAGTATTATATTATATAAGCACATATAATTTGAGTATCTATAATATAATGTGTACTACTTTCATATTTCTAATACTTATCTATAGCTTATTATTTTATAAATTTTTGTTATTTTGAGTGTAAGATGTAATCATACCGTTTTAATGATGAAATTTCGTGGAAAAAATATTTCATACTTGAGATACTGTAAAAATAGACCCATTATAGAACCAATCCTGGTTTGAAAAATATATTTATTTTTTTTTTTTGGCTGATGTATAAATCAGTTATAACCCAAAAAATATTCATATGAATCACAGTTTTAGCTATTATATTATAAATAGTACTTATCATGAATCCTATAAAAGTACGGTCATTGAAACTAAAATACCTGGAGAAATCGCTCTGCTGTATAGAAGATATCGAGAGTACCTTATCATTATGTAGGTCACTGTAAAATATAGTTAAATAATATTTTATGTCAATTTAAATAATTTAATGATATTTCTTGCATAATATGACAGACTAGATATGGTAGTCGTAGTCTCTATTTTTCAGGATAATTTATAATTTGCTTATATTATATTTTATAATAATAATTTTAATATTATTATTTAAATTATAGATCAATAATCAATAGTCAATACAAATTTACCTTATTAGAATCATGTATAAATATCACTGTGGCATAATAGTTTAAAATTATTTATACAGTGTGTTCACGCTAAGAGGTACCACTAAATATTTCAGTTGGATGATCTCGTACTGAAATGGGGTTTTCGCTGAATGACAGATAG